GCTGATGTTGACCCCTTACTCAGAGCTGCTGATTCAACAAATTACAGTAAACCTATGGGAGTGTTTACTATTTCATCTACATCTGTATGTGAACATGAACACATCCTTTAGTTTACCATCATTCATTGAGTCAGGAGCTGTGAATAAGAAGCCAAATGAATCGGAAGCTGTAAATAAGTAGCTGCCTAAATCATGCAGTTAATATTGTTGATGACGTCTTTGTAAACCACAGATTCGTCTTTGAGGAAGAGGGGCTCTGCAGACAAAGGCAAACTACAGGGAAACGACAGAGGTGGTGATTTTTTTGCTTTTTTGCATTAAAAGAGTTCATTCAGAGGACATTCAACAACGCTAGAAAGTCCTTCTGTTAATAGTATCTGTGGGAGATAATGGTCATTTTGTAATGACCGTCTGTTTTTGATTCTGCAGCATTTCAACCCCATGACCAACCAGCTACCTCTCAGGGGGAAAAGCTACAGACAGAGCTAAGCTGTGTTTTTATATTGTACGTTCTTTCTATTTTGCTAGGAAGTATATTTTATGAATCTACAGGTAAATGAACTGTCTTCCCTGATCAGTGTTGTTAATAGCCTCTATGTGGACCACAGATTCGTCTGTGTTTTTGTTTTTTACAGTTTTGTATAAAATGGAAAGACTTTTAAAGCGTTTAATAGAAAAGTTCAACAATATTGACAAACACTATTTTAGATAATGGGCTAGATTAGTAACACTCAGCAGTGACCAGTGTAACCATATTACGCCACGCTGCGCAGAATGTGTGGCCTGGTAAATAAGTCCTATTCATAAAGTCTCCAAGAGGCAGGTGTGGGTTTGTCAGTGGCTGCTGTGTGCAGAAGACTTTATAAACAGAAATACAGAGGCTGCACTGCACGATGCTGATTCTTCTGCTGTCAGCTGTTGAGGCCTTAATGGTTACAAAGCTCTCTGATTCTCTTTCTTCTTAATAAAGTTCTACACGGTCAGGTTTGGTGAGCCTCAGGATTGGTTGGAGTCTCTTACTGCTTTATTCTCGTCTCTCAGCCTTATAATGATTTCCTTAACTTTCTTTTTCACAGCTGTGGTCCTCATGTTGATCAACAGCAAAAGCAGATTCCACAGGTGACCCAGGTTGTAAAAGCCTAAATAAAAACCTGAATAAAACACAGTTTATTAATAAGAGTTAAGCTACAGAACATTAGAACCATGAATAACTCATTCTTCATTCTAAAAGAAGAGAACTAAGAGTAACAACTGTAAAATATTTAGTTATAAGTACTTCTGAGCCAGAACCAAACTCAGTCTATATGAAATGAGCTGAGAAAATAAAATAAAATAAATAAGGACACAAATATTAGAAAAAATAAACTTTATTGAGTTCATACATCTCCTTTTCACTGATTTGTGGAGATATTTCACATTATTGATCCAGCCAGCCAATAAGGTGACTGGTTATATGAACCTGAGGGTAAAGTACTGCTGGACTAAGTGCCGAACTTCCTTTGGGTCCAGCCAGCAGCCAAAGCAACGGGTCTCCCTGCAACAGAACCGAGATAAGAGCATTTATTTTGTTATTGATATGTTTCTTTATTAACATTTTTCTTTTTTTATTAATTTATTTCCATAACTATTAATTTCTATATTTATTTATCTCTCTATTTATTTCTGTATTTCCTTGTCCTTATGCTAATAAAGGGGCTGTCAGCCAATGATGTCACAGCGTCTTAATACTCCTATCAGTTAATCGATGTCAGACTCTGTAGATCGATTGTTCATGTCTTGCTCTCTCAGCGGTAACTAAGGTCCAGACAGTACAGTAACGGCTTCTTACAGCAGCAGACAGTCAGAGATCTGAGAGTCTCGGCTGGTCTGGCTGAAAATGCAGGTCTGGGTTGTTTACTGGTTCGTGTGGAGGCTGTGGGGACAGTCTGCTCCATTTAGCTGCCTCTGCTGATTCAGATGTCGACCCCATAGCCTTCAGAGCTTCAGAGGAGGCGAATAATCGGCTTTTTCTGCAGAATTCAGATCAAACTCAGACATTCGGACGCCCTTCTCACATCCGGCCTGTGGAGCCATCGAGAGTTACTCATCAGCAGGTCTGTCTGTTCGTGACGTTGCAGCTCTTCATGGAGTGAAAGAACAGTTTAACGGCGAATGGCAGAGCATGGTCTGAGGTACAGAGCACGGTCTAAAGTACAGAGCATGGTCTGAGGTACAGAGCATGGTCTAAAGTACAGAGCATGGTCTAAAGTACAGAGCACGGTCTAAAGTACAGAGCATGGTCTGAGGTACAGTGCATGGTCTGAGGTACAGAGCATGGTCTGAGGTACAGTGCATGGTCTGAGGTACAGAACATGGTCTGAGGTACAGAGCATGGTCTAAAGTACAGAGCATGGTCTGAGGTACAGAGCATGGTCTAAAGTACAGAGCATGGTCTGAGGTACAGTGCATGGTCTGAGGTACAGAGCATGGTCTGAGGTACAGTGCATGGTCTGAGGTACAGAGCATGGTCTAAAGTACAGAGCATGGTCTGAGGTACAGTGCATGGTCTGAGGTACAGAGCATGGTCTGAGGTACAGTGCATGGTCTGAGGTACAGAACATGGTCTGAGGTACAGAGCATGGTCTAAAGTACAGAGCATGGTCTGAGGTACGTGTGCATGGTCGAAAGTACAGAGCATGGTCTGAGGTACAGAGCATGGTCTGAGGTACAGAGCATGGTCTAAAGTACAGAGCATGGTCTGAGGTACAGAGCATGGTCTGAGGTACAGAGCATGGTCTAAAGTACAGAGCATGGTCTGAGGTACAGAGCATGGTCTGAGGTACAGTGCATGGTCTGAGGTACAGAGCATGGTCTGAGGTACAGAGCATGGTCTTAGGTACAGTGCATGGTCTGAGGTACAGAGCATGGTCTGAGGTACAGAGCATGGTCTAAAGTACAGAGCATGGTCTGAGGTACAGAGCATGGTCTAAAGTACAGAGCATGGTCTGAGGTACAGTGCATGGTCTGAGGTACAGAGCATGGTCTGAGGTACGTGTGCATGGTCTGAGGTACAGAGCATGTTCTGAGGTACAGAGCATGGTCTAAAGTACAGTGCATGGTCTGAGGTACAGAGCATGGTCTGAGGTACAGTGCATGGTCTGAGGTACAGTGCATGGTCTGAGGTACAGAGCATGGTCTAAAGTACAGTGCATGGTCTGAGGTACAGAGCATGGTCTAAAGTACAGTGCATGGTCTGAGGTACAGTGCATGGTCTGAGGTACAGAGCATGGTCTAAAGTACAGTGCATGGTCTGAGGTACAGTGCATGGTCTGAGGTACGTGTGCATGCAAAGTGTGCTAACAGTCTATATGCATGCTCAACTTTTCAAAACATGCTAACCTAACTGTTGGGAGGAGTGCAAAATTCTTGCATAATAAGCCTGATGAAGTTCTTTTGTCATCTGACCACACAATGTAATTCTTATTTAAAGGGTCTCTGACATGTTTACCAACACTTATAATGAAGACCTGGATACAAAAGTACGCGAGATCCTCAGTTGTCATCCAAATACAGGATATAAAATGATGGCTGGCATCTCAACGCTCGAGGCATTCGGATACAAAGTGAGTGTTTCTTTGCAGGCATTAAAGTAATGATGACAGTCTGCTTGTGCAAGTGTAATAGGTTATATATGACGTAAAGTACATTTTAAATCTAATATTTATATGCTATTAAGGGTAATGGGACAATGTATGGAGCGATAGCAGTTTCAGCTTCCCCATAGTCTCATGAGGAAGACGGAGTTGCCATGATACCACTTTTTTATTTTTTAAAACAGATACAGAGATCGAGTCCTTCGTTCTGATATTTTTTTTTCAAAATCTACTAAGCTGTTAAATTATCTAATTTTTAATTGATTCGTTTAACTTAATATGAAAGTGTAAAAGTAGTCTGTGATGCTGTAACGACACAGCTAAAATCACATCACACAGTGTAACTGACCGTTTCAGGGTAGATTTTATACAAAGTTGGATCCAGTTTATTAATTTCCCACTTACAGCCCATCCAGCATTTTCTACTGATATCAAGCTAAAACCAATACCTGGTATCGTATCAGTGGCGTCTCTAGATGAAGGCTATTTTTGGTTTGTGCAGTAGACATATAATAATGACCTTTAGAATCTTAATTTATAGGAAAAAAAGCATTTAACTGAAATCTGTACATTTACTTTTATGAAGGACGTCGCGTTCAAGAAGCTGTGCGCCGTGAAGATCTAGAAGGAAGTGAAATGCGTGCTCTTCAGCTGCAGACGGTGCGCCGCAGAAGGTATTCTGTGCCTGCTCCTAACAGTTTGTGGCATATAGATGGCAACCATAAACTTATTCGGTAAGGATGTGCTTATATGAACACTGTTTTAAATACATGATACAATTCATACAGTGTAAAATCATACAGTTCTTTTTGCATGTATGGTTTTATTTATGCCAGGGCTGCCCATATCTGTTCTTAGTGAGGCAACATAGACAGTTTAGTTCCACCACTTCTAGTTCTAATTCTTAGAAGCTCCTGAAGGTCTTCATTAAAAAATTCCCTTGTGTGGTAAATCACAAGGACTGGACCTGGGCAACCTTGGTTTATACTGAACATACAGTTGCACACGGAGTGTAGAGCATTAGAGACATTATGTATATGGAAATTAAATGTATCTTTCTTATGACCTCATGAGGAGGCGTGTTCATTGTTAATCACTTTGTTATATTTAATTAGCAAATTCTTTCCACCATCTAAAACATTGGTGGAAGTTTATATGCTGTATTGTAAAAACATAAAATACATTCTTTAGTTTATTAAGTTTAATAAAATAGAATTAGGAATTCATGTGTGTTTATAGTATGTTTCAGATAACAAAGTAGTGTCTACTAGTAAGTAGTTTCATTTCTGTAATATGTTACGATTTTCAATTTCTTAAATTACAGATGGGGAATAGTAGTTCATGGTGGCATTGACGGCTTTAGTTGTCTAATTGTGTACCTTAATGCTGCCACCAACAACCAGGCCTCAACAGTCATGGGCAGCTTCCCTGAAGCAGTCAATACCTATGGAGTGCCTTCACGTGTCGGGTCTGACAAAGGAGGAGAAAATGTTCAGGTTGTACATTTCATGGTGTCCACTAGAGGCCTAAATAGGAATTCCCACATCACTGGAAGAAGCACACACAATCAGAGGAACCATTCTGTAAAGACTTTGTGTTCACATTCATTTTCAAACTGACTTCGGTAGAGTCCAACTAAAACGCTTTTTCTTTGGGTTTAGTCAACTACATTTTTTCATGCTTGCTCACTCTACCTAGGATAGACAGATCGTGGAGAGATGTCTTTGGGGGAGTTTTAGATCTCTTCTACACCATTTTCTGCAACCTGGAGAGGGAGGGCCTACTCAGCCCAGATGAAGAGATCCACATCTACACACTGCACCGGACCTTTCTTCCACATATTCAGAGGCATTTGCAGTTCTTCAAGGATGGCTGGAACCACCATAGATTGCGCACAGAGGAGAACCAGTCACCACTTCAACTATGGATGCAGAACCAACTTGAGGGGCATCAAGACCCTCCCCAGGTATGTTTGAAACAAGGCTAGAAGTAAACCTCTATCTATAGATAGCCAAACAATTTTGTACAAGCTAAGGAATTTAGGATTAATACTAATGGTGTCCAGCATTTTTTCATGTATTAAGTAGTTCATCAAATAACAATGATGTACTTTACCACGCATTCTTACATTATTAGTGATATGATCAATGACTGGTTACAGTTTATGCATTTTCAAGCATGCCCTTATGCTGGCCATAATGAATTACACACGTACCAAAACATGCTTGTTCTTTCTGTGCTTCTTTTTTTGGTCCTCCTTAAATATACACTTTGAAAAAAGGCAAATAATGTGCTGTTCAAATTTTAATGTTCAATATAATTCTAGGTTGATCCTGAGTGTGGGATTGACTGGGAAGGTCCACATGGATACCACCACGAAGGAGTCACAGTTCCTGAGGTTCAGCTTCCCCGGCCACTATCTGAAGTGGAAGTGCAGAGACGGCCAAATCCACGAGGTCCTTTTTCCAATGTATTAAATCTGTACAGTGAGACAGTTGTGGTGTTAACAGATATACTTTCAGATGTTTAAAGGACAGACATCTGCTGACGTTTTTGGGTTTTGGATGTTATTCTAATATTATTTGATATCCATAGCACACAACCTTGTGAGATGGTAATTATTAAGCAGAGCAAGCACTAAAAACATATGAGCACTGTCTTTTCTCTGAGTTTGATGCCTATATAGCAAATATGTGCAGGCATCCTATCGTTATGATGTCATCATTTTGTTTACCTAGAATTGTAGCAGACCCTGTTGAAGGGTCATAATTGTTGAGGTCATTGCCTTTGCAATTAATAACCATTCATTAATTCTTATTTAGCTTGTGCTTCCACTAACTGGCCACTTTATTAGAAACACCTATGTTGTACTTCCACTAACTGGCCACTTTATTAGAAACAACAGCTTAGCCACCATTCATCATTGGTCAGTTACTAATCATTGTTGATCTGATATGTTTTTGAGTGGTGGACCAGCAGGAACACTGAAATGGTACAGCAACACTGCTGGAGCCAAGAGCATCGTCACATCCAAATATATCCAGGCAACAGCAAACTCAGGAAACGACCAGTGATGAAGCTAGAAATGATCAACACAGATGTGCATGGAATATATGTGGTGCAGTTTTTAACTATACCAGCAGGAAATGTCTTATACATGTTTCAGATAAAGTGGCCAGTGAGTGTTTGTACCCCTGCTATTCACAAAAGCACACATGCTGGCCAAATGTTTGTGCTGTAATTCTAAGTTTAAAATTTTGGTCCAAAGCTACATTTTGCATGCAACAAATACCTTTTTTTAAATTGGTCAGATGAGTAAGGTGGTCTCATCATGTGTGATGGGGGCATAAAACTGGGTATGATATAAAACTCCAGTTAGGAGTCCAGCATAGTTGGCCGATTCCTCTGCTCAAACACACCCCATTCAACTCAGCAGTAATTCCCAGAGTTAGTTGTTGGGTCAGAGCAGAGAAATCACCAAACTGCGCTGGACTCCAGCCCTCAGTTCTCTAACCCAATTCAGTGTAACAACACTTCCTTACTATCGTGGTGTTTTCTCCTCTCAGGGTCCTCATATGTAGTGTTATTGGTTGGTTTTCTGCAATCATAACTTCGTTGACACCTACTGTGACTCCAGGCTTTGACATTTAGGTAGTTTATGTTTATGTATGTTATTACTTTAATCAAATTAAATGTTTAAAACACTTTTTTGTAAATTAAACCTTTTTTATTGAACATTGTTCTAATTGAACAGTTAACAGTAATGCATGTATGAAATCTCACCAATTTTATTAAACAAAAAATGCAAATAAAGCTTTGCAACAAAAAGTGTTAATGTTGTCTTTGGCTCAAATCTGACCGAATCCAGAGTAGGAGGAGGAGATGCTTGCCATCAGGTCTCAGAGGAAATCTTCATAATTTGCAGTATTTTTCGAAAGCTTTAGAGTTAAAAAGCCTGTTGATGATTGGGGAAGGTCACAATCAACAACTTCCACCTCCAGTGATGGGGGAAGGACATCCCAGCCAGTCCAGAATGACAGCAAACTCTTCAAGACCTCAGAGGACCCTGAAAAAGACCCCCCCAAAACAGTATCAGCAACTGTTGTCATATTCTATCATATCATATATAAATCTTAAAAATTAAGTTATTATAACATCAAATGTGGCAAAATACCAGTTTCTATAAACTTCCGGAAACAGCCTAGCACACGGCACTGGTCCTCCAGCGTGAGGACGTCTTCATCAACATCTTCCTCCCGTGGCCAGATAATCTCGTCCAGAATCATCTAAGAATGAGCGTTCTTAGTTCTTAGACTTAGAGGCAGTAGCTTTACTGCTTTTTTAAGGCTGAACTTTATCATAGATGGGCAGCTCTGCTGTTATTTGTTTGACTTACTTGAGATGTTATCTCTGTCTCAGTGGCCCTTGGGAACAAGATTGGCACAGTGTCTGGTCCAGAGCTGAAAAGCTCCGAAACACCAGTGTCTTTCAGGCCTCTCTTAATTTGCTTCACTTGCTTGGTAGTTCTTCCAAGAACCTGTAAATGTATTACAAAATGTTTGACAAGTTTCTGAAACTTCAGAAAGTAACATGCATAGACTAAACAAAACATAACATAACATAACATAACATAACATAACATAACTGCCATTTCTTTAGGGTTGTTTGAAAAAGGGCTTTATACAGTGTTGTAAGTGTAAAATTCAATGATATCAGAAAACACAGTATTTGTTTTGTATCAACAGGAAGAAAATAAATAAAAATATTGTAAACGTGTGAAACTCATTGACTACATGTCCAGCATTTCTTTTAAATCATCATTATTAGAGGACTCTTGGTGGAAATCAAAGCTTGAACAAGGTTGTGTATGTTCAGAATTCTTTCCCAGCAGGGTGTCTAGAGCTGCATCATGTCACACATGCAGTCTTTACAGCATAAATACACATCTGGGTTATAAACAATGTCTTGTTTTCATTTCATGTCCTTTCATTGTTTCAAGAACACCATTAAACATTTTAACATTCATTACTGCATATTTGATTTTATGCAAACTAACATAAACCCAAATGTCATTTTCTATCTCGGAGGAAGACGTTTAACTTTCCTGCAGAATAACCCTCAAATCCAGAGGCAGAGTCAGGCTGAACTTCACAAGTATTAAACTTAAAGAATAAAATAAAATCTTACGGCATGGAGAAGAATTTTCTCCCTAAGCCACCACCTGTTTTCTGACGTAACACCAGGCAAGTCCCAGGGCAGCTCACAGAGAGGACCATGGATTTCTGGTCCTCAGAAAGTTCCTGGGTTCCTTCCAACTGATTAAAGACATCAGAGGGTTCAATGAAAACTGAGAGTTTGCAAAAAGGTTCAAATGCAAACAAATTTACAAGCTCAGAACAGACATTACAAATAATGTGTCTTTTGAAGAAAGTAAACATATTTAAAAATGGCTTTGGTAAATAAACTAAAATTAAAAATATTTTTTCCCAAACCAGGTGGATGACATCCCGAACATCCTGGTCCACGCAGTCAGATACGCTAATTGCTGCCGTCTCTTGCTCCCCTCCAAAGAGTACATGCACTATGGCAGGGCTCAACCCAGCAAGACGTGGGCCATCATTTAAAAAACAGTGCCCAATTATGCGTCCAGCTATGACACAAAAATCACTTTCCAAAAGTGCCCGAGATGTGGAAGGAACAAGATGGTCTTGCTCGCCCTCAAAGAGCAAAGTCTTTACACAATTAACACAATTAATTTTGATTGACGGGTGTCCATTTTAAAGGGACAAAAGTGTGTTTTAAAAGGCTGCAAGGCTACCAAAATCAGTAGATGTACCCGTCTCTTCCTCAAGAAGGAAGCCATTCTGAAGATGTTCCATCACTGTAGACAGCACATACCTGTTGACTCCCTCACCGATTGCTGTGTCACCTTTCAAATTGAAACACTGAAAGTCAGGCAATGCAGTGAAGCAGACTTCGTCCCTGCTTACCATTGCTGAGACGACTTCAAGAATCAAGCAAATCAAAGTTTCATATGTGAGAATACAGAGAACGTACCCAGTACGTATCTAATGAACTGCCTCCTCTGAGTAAGCATTACATTCTAAAGGCCAGCAGACGAGGCATGTGATCAAGTTCCTCTGGAGATGATACAAATTTTGCTTTGATGCTGCGTCTCCAATATTGCTTTGTATTGGTTTTTGTGAATGTTTGACAATAACTCTGTAATTGGGGTCTCTGAGATTTTACACATATTAACTTTTTAAAGTCTATTATTAATATCTCCTCATTTTTCTTATAAATGTAGCCATAATGAACGACTGAAAGTCTAAAGAAAAAAGAAGCAAGCCAGCAACTGGAGGATAACTACAGCCCCAGTGTGACTAAATAAATCAGGTGACGTAATTTCATAAATAAGAAACAGGCTAAATGATGATTTACCAAAGATGATGTATCAATAAATGATTTACCAAAAATCATTGTTCGTCCCACAAGGTCATATGTCAATCACCCATCATATGCACATTCTTAGGTGGTACTTAATAGGTATATTATGCGTCATTCTCAGTATGTTTTATGACTGTGTTATTTAATCAATAATTAGGATCATTACCAGTCAATTTGCACTGCAGTGGATTAGACCACTGCACCTTTGGCCTTTTGTAAAAAGTAATGATAGCCCTGTTCCTTTCCACCAAGGAATCCCTCAAGCTCAGGGTGAAGTTCAGGTTGTCTGTGTCTTTATTAGCCTCGAGTGTTGACTGGGTGAACAGCTGAACTGCCTTGGCTGGATCTGGTTCTGTAATCCAAGCTTAACAGAAAAACAGAGTCAGATTTAATATACACATCAAAAAAAATATGAAATGCAAAAAATATACATAAAAAATTCTGAGTCGCTTGAGATGTTCAGATTGATTCTGTCCAGTAAGGTTTAACATTTTAAAAAGCAATTTCTTATGGACTTTCCAGGATCACCTGAGAGATAAAGTACACTGTTGGGCATGTGCTGACCATCAACACATACTGGACTCCTGGACACTGAAGTGCCAGATGAGTTTGCTGTACAGACAGACATAAAATATCAGGCAGTAGAATTAAAAATCTACATCTGTCCATCACCAGGCGAGGGGTCTGACTCCCTGGTACATTTATCCTAATGGGCAACTCAAATTTAAAGTGCCACAGAAATTCTGAAAAATATTCAGAAAATATTCAGAAACCTTAAATTCTGTAAACTCCTGACTTGTCCTTTAATCTGTAACACACTGAGTACAAACCCTCAACTGAACCTGTCTCCAGACTCTCCTCCATCACCAAATCTACAACGGGGTGCTGAGAGGTGGAGGCAGAGGTCAAAATGGTTCTAGGGACAGCTGCACTCTCTCTCTCTCTTTCATTCTCTTTCTCCCTTTCACCTGCAGTTCACCTGAGAAAAGCTGAGTTAGATGATAAGCGTTCTCCATGCACTTCATAATATATTTAGTTATACCTAAACAAAGAATGAAGTACCACACTTTGTGTCCATATATCTCTACAGTTCAAAGTCTATATTATTCTTTGACCAGAACTAAGCAATATATGACCGACCCCTACGGCAGGGCTTCTCAAACTTTCTTTGAGGATGGAGAATCATTTTAAAGCCTTCTGCATCCTGCTTAAAGCCTAATTTTGGAGTGGACTGTTAACTACACACGCAACAAAGTCCACACAGTATTGCATTTTCTAAAATAAGAAAAAAGGTTATAGACTGTTTTTTCCATATGACAGATAATAATAAGATAAATTCAGCTGCATTTACCTCACAAAGAAACAAAGATAACTGCTAAAACATGATCATAATAATCATCGTTACACTCAAAGCAGCACCTTGAGCCGTCTTCACTGTGTCGTCTTATCTGTGAAAAGGGAAATTCCTCTCCACAGTTCAGACATGGCATCAAGGGTCCAGTCTGGGCATCAACTGGTCCTTCATTTAGTTCCTATTTGTAAAGACAGAACACCCACAGCAATGACATGACATTTGGATCTTTACGTAACATATGATAAATAACTTGGTTAATGACGAATAATTTAGCTAATTTATAGTTTTCAATATTGCACAACAGTCCTCACATTTACTTGATGGACTGGTAAATGAAACAACATGAACTGACAAATCCAGTCTTACACGCTCTGGACTCAAAGTCCTCTGCAGGGGGCGAATGTAAAGAGTGCATGATTTATCACAGTGCTAGGATCCTTCAGACATCTCACGGTGTGTCCTTCACTGGGGCAAGGCACGACTACAAGATGACGGCTCCTTGTGGTTCCTGAACTTCTCATCAGCTCAAACCCGCCTGCATCTCTCAGTTTTGGAAATGAAATGAAAAGGAACTCCACAAACTCTCGTGAGTGAAATGACAAACAATACACAACTTCAGTTTCACTTCTGTGACTGTGAGTTTTAGAACCACTGTCTTTTATAACTTTTAGTTTAAAATGTTTGTGTGCCCTGTTTCTGTCCTAAAACTCATCATGAAAACTCTGCGGTAAAATGTGATCCAGGAAAAAAAACTTGCTTCACGATTACGACAAATAAGGTAACTGATATTAATATTCACAAAATACACAGATTGACAAATTAATTAATTACATATGACAATGTTGCTCAAGATTTAGATATATATTACTTCTCTGAGCTAGGGGCTTCACAGAAATTGCCTTAAAAGGTATGTGGGGCCCATTTAAGTACCCCCCAGACTTTCCACCGTTTCTGATCTTTGTGTTACACTTGTAATAAATTATATAAAATTCCTTGATTATGTTAAAAGAGAGGTTCATACTTCATTTCATTATATGATCATTAAACCTGACAAATCCATATGAAAAGTCCCCGCTAGAAAAAAACAACACAGACAAGCACCAGCATATGTTTTGTTTAGGATACTGGAATGCTAATCAACCAGCATGACCATACTGGGTGACTAGCTAAACCAGCACCAGACCAACATAAACCAGCTTAGACCAGCAAAGAATTCATGCAGGTCTGTGCTGTTTTTTTCAGCAGGGTTAAGTTGGCTTATTAGGGGCGTTCCCACATATGAATGTGCTCGATCGAATCTAATAGACACAAATGATAAATGGAGACTATCAGTATCTGATGTCTCTCAGTCTCTGACTTTAACTGTTGTTTTTTAAATATGATATCAGGTTTCATACCTCGGACGTTCAGACGCTTCTCACCCAGCCCCCCCTCTGAAGGTGTTCTTTGGTGACTCTCGTTGGTACTGTAGTTGTATCTTTCCGTCCAAGACAGCAAAATGTATGAGTGTCTGTGAAGAGTGTGTTGGTGTGGACACGCCTAAACTGCCTCCTGGATCTGACTGGGTTATTAATGTATGGAGCAAACAGTCCTGAAACTTCAGCTGGAAGAAGAGAACAAGAGTTATTTCACAAAATATGCCACAGTTCAACAGTTTGGCATCACTTGTCATGTTAACAGTTTTGTTATTTAGGTGCAGTTATAACATAAGGTTGGTTTCCCAGATAGGGATTATGCTTAGTCCTGGACTATATTCTTCTTTCAATGGAGAATCTCCATTCATGCTATATAATCCATGACCAGCTATTTTCTCCACCCAAGAAATCAGTTCAAATATCCTTAACTAGATGTTAAAAGGTGTTTTTAAATGATCGTCAATAGTTAAAGTTTTGGCAAAACTTAAAACTTTAAAAAATTACTATACTGTACTTTTTACAGTTATTTTATCATGTGGCCAAGATTTTATAACCACTTTTAAAACAGACACATTTTGGCTATTAATTTTACTATATCTTATTTTTGATGCTTTACAGCTTTCATAGTTATTACAGAATCATCTACAGCTCTGCTCCTGGTCTTTTTAACAACCTTTTATTAGTTATTTGAAACCTGTATTTGCACAGGAGGAACCTATTCACATTGAAAGAGTAGAATACATCGCCGAAAAAAGGTGATAACAGATGTTCACAGATCCAGTACAGCCATCTGTGAACTCTAATTTTAGTAAATCTTCTTTTTAGTTAACTTTACAGTGCAAAACATTTATTATTGGAGGGTAGAATTCAACTGTTAATTATAATGGCTTATAATAAGTTTCTCTGTATTTATAAGCCTACCATCCACAGGATGTAGGCCTACAGACCCCCGCAAAGTAGTGACAGATGCAGTACCCGAAACAGTCCCAGTGGTGCCAGATGTAGTACCTGAAACAGTCCCAGTGGTGCCAGATGCAGTACCCAGAACAGTCCCAGTGGTGCCAGATGTAGTACCCAAAACAGTCCCAGTGGTGCCAGATGTAGTACCCAAAACAGTCCCAGTGGTGCCAGATGCAGTACCCAAAACAATCCCAGTGGTGCCAGATGCAGTACCCAAAACAGTCCCAGTGGTGCCAGATGCAGTACCCAAAACAATCCCAGTGGTGCCAGATGCAGTACCCAAAACAGTGCCAGAAGAATATGTTGTTAACATGACAATTATTTAGAAAGCTCACTGGGTTTATTTTAATCCAGGATAGAAAAAGTACTAAAGACAATGCAATTCATTTTTCCTTAACACATATGTTTATGCTCTCCACCCACGCTCTTGTATGTGGACGCGTATAGTGCCAAGCACTTTTAGTTGACAAGAGCATCGTGCGAACAAGCGTGAACATGCGGCTGGAACAGGAACACAATGCACTCATTTACGTTTTCAACAACTGAAAACGTTGCAGCATGTAGTCAAGACTGATCGATCACCAAACAGCAAAGAGCAGTATTACCTGAATGGCCTTCACCATAAGACACTCCTGCTAAAGAATCCAGCTAAGACCAGCTTTGCTAGTAGCTGTTTTCAGACAGTCAAAGAGCCTGGAAAGCCGCAAACACTGTCATGGTCAGCATGGCCAGCTTGATGAACCTGGTCATGCTAACATTTCCTATTTTGGGGTGCATTTCTTGAAAGTGTCGTTGAACAACCACCATAGCTAAATGACAGATGATCATTTTTAACACTCTCTCTCTCCACGGTTACCACGGCGTATGCTTAACGACGCTTTCGGGAAATGCAGTAGCTACTGGTCAGAAGGCTAAGCTGGAGGTTAACGTTAATCAGCTAATGTTAAACCAGCTGGAGTTGGCCGTGCAAAGCAGTTTTTTAAGCATATACGATCTCACTCTCTAAACAATCTATGCATCTTAACGGTTAATCTCTTGGAATAGCGGTAAACATTACTACAGCAATGGAAATAAAGGCCATTGACAAATATATGGGCTATCTTAACGCTGATTCACGTAAGCTTTGTATTTGTAATTCGCATTTAAGACATTGGTCTGAAGGTATAGTGGCTGATACTAAAACTACAAAGACATCAAAGTACAGTCAGAGACCAAAATAACCCTTAATATATATAAATATATACTTTTACATCAAAGCTCAAAATACATACAGTGCTCCATTTCATCCAGGCGAGCAGCTGCCTCTCTGAGCAGCTCAGAGATCGACCTTCGCCCTGACATTTTGTCTTTATCACTCTTCTACTTCAACTCTTCAACTCCTGGTC